CATCTGGACAACATAGGGGCAAAACCTTCCTTATATTTGGTCAAGTCAAATCACATATGATCATGGAGCTCAACTAGAGTGGCCATCAGCTTCTTGGTCACCACACTAACCCTTCTCCTATTGCTCAGTTTGGCCAGGAGGCCAGCTCTAGGAAGAGTTCTAGTTGTTTCAAGCGTCTTCCATTATGGATAATGGAGGCTACATGCTTCTGTGAACTTTCAACACAGCAGAAATGTTTCTGAAATCTTCCTCAGATGTGTGGCTTGACGCAAACCTGTTTCTGAGCTCTACAGGCAGTTCTTTTGACCACAGGGCTTGGTCTTTGCTCTAATATGCATTTTCAGCTGTTAGACCTTTTATTAAGACATGTGTGCCTTTCCAAATCATACCCATTCAATTGAATTTGCCACAGAATATCTTCACTCAAAGTGTGGTAACATTTACAAGCAAAATAAATGCTCCTGAGCTAAATTTCAACTGTCCCAGATAAGGGTATGAATACTTATGCAATGGAATCATTTAAGTTTTTATCTTTAATAAATTTGCTAAGATGTTAAAAAAACTGTTATTTGCTTTGTCATTATGGTATATGGAGTCTAGATTGATGTGGGGGGGAAAAAGTAATTTAAAGCAGTTTAAAATAAGGCTGCAACATAACAAAACCTGAAAAAAATGAAGGGGTTTGAATACTTCCGCAAGGCACTGTATATACTGGAATATGATATGCTTTATGGTATAATATTGACCGAATATGAATGACACACACAGACACACACAGTACCTGTTCTGTTATAGCTAATTTATAACCACAAGCTTTCCAGGTTTGTAAAGTTTTCATAAATTAACCACGTCTTTCTTATCAAACCAAATGAAGGAATCGGACTGGTTCACACTTTGATACGAACACAAGGCCAATTTCTGTTCTTTTCAAGACCTTATTGTTTAACTCTCAAGACAGAGGTGGTTCGTAACCCTTAAAATATGTTCAGTAACTGGCTACATTATTTGTTATTACTGGCTAAGAGCCGGCAATTATGCTGTAGCAGTCATAATAAACATTTTATGGCCTACAATTGTAATTTATCAGAAACTGGAAAACTGTCAAGTCAGTTGATATGGTGATACAAGAAGCTCAGATTATCAGCTCTCATGCTCTCAGCCTCTGTAAACAACATGCAACAAGCACATTTGCATTTTTTCCCAAGTATTTCCACCTACTTTCCATTCAGATCTGGCAAAATCATTTCTCAACAGATCATAGTCTAAGAAAAGCTTAAGGAACCCTTGTGAAAAAGAAGCAGACTTCAGCATACTTTTAAAAAAGAGCACTTATTATGGAAATAAAATACTTTAAATGAATCTACTTAAGTGTGAACTGAATGCAATGCTTTCAGAAATGTATTTATTTAAATTTATATTAAATGCAAATAGGTGAACCTAAGAGTGTTTTTTTGACCCACTTAAGTAGGACTTAAGCACATCTTTAATTTCATAATTATTCTATTGTCTTTGAAATACGATTAAAGTGTACTGCCTAATGTATGGAAGCCTGTTTCTGCCACTGAATACAAAAGTTAATTGTGACTTTTTATCTCACAATTCTGATTTTTTTCTCAGTATTGTGAGATATAAACTCGCAACTGTGAGTAATAAAGTCCAATTCTGAGAAAAAAAGGACTATTTTCTTACAATTGCAAGTTTAGCTATATCTCACAATTCGGACTTTATAACTCTCAAATGCATGTTATAAAGTCAGAATTGCAAGTTTATATCTTGCAACTGTGACTTTATTTCTCAGAATTGTGGCTATTTCTCACAATTACAAGTGTAAATCTCACAATTCTGACTTGTTTCTCACAACTGCGAGTTTCTCAGAATTGCGAGGAAAAAAAAGTGTGATACCTTGTTTTATTTTTAATTCAGTGGCAGAAACGAGCTTCCATACGAATGTACTGACAAACATTCAAGGTAAACTAAAATATACTCATAAAGTCATTTCTATTGAAACTTGTATGTCATGTCAATGATGAAGTTGCAATTTTTTAGTACATTTAAAATACATTAACTTTAATATCAAATAGCAGTTAAAATGAATATCAAGAACTTTACATGTCCTCTAGTAGTCAACACATCAAAATAAATGTATAAATGAGAAAATATTATGAAAACTTAATGGTTTAAGTGTACTTTAAAGTAAAAACATGAAATGCAATGTTTTAAAAGTGTACTTAAGTGTGTTAAGAAACATGAAAGTGAACTCTCTTTAAGTACACTTGTTTAATTTCATTAATATTATATTATCTGCAAGTACAGTATAGATTTTTTTTTTTAAATGTGAAGTACACTACAAGTGCCCATTTAATAAAAATTAAGACCAAAGTTTACACTTTAGTTTACACATTATTTTACACCAAAAAACTGTCATTTACTTGTATATATTGGCCATCCTATAATTTTATTGTCCATGTGAGAAATATGAGGGAAACATGAGAGGATTGTGTTATCAAATGCATCATTTTTTTTTAAGGCTGAATCTTTTTAATACATTTGTTTAAGTCGATTTGTTTAAGACTTGGAATGTTTCAGTTTTTCTTAACTCCCTAAACTCGACTCAATGATGCAAATTTGAGTCTGTTCATCAAACAAAGCTTATCGTATGACTTTAGAAAGCTAGGAAAATACTGCACCTCATATGGACCAACATTATGATGCTTCTGAGGTGCTTTTGAGTCCTTTTTGAAGCTTTTTGACTGTATCTGTATATTGCTTATGTGTATACTGTATCTATAGCCTAAATATATATAATGCAGTACTTATTTGGTCATTTAAACATTGACAAATTTCTAAAGCGTTTATTACAGACTTAATGCATTTTATTTATTTTGTTCTTAATTTTGTTGCATCAGCACTAATAAAAGTTCTTGTCAACGAGAAAAGAGAGAAAAAGATTGTTCTATGCATTTATATGCATTCATACCAATCGCATCACATGTCCTAAAACATGTCATATTACAATTCTGACTTCGTACAGTAAGTAGAAACTTCTCAGGAAGATTGTCAGACACACAAAATGAGGATAATCTTGATGCAAATCAGCCAATAAAGATAAAATCTGGAGACAATTTCAAACCAAGCGTAACTGGTTCTTCACAGCTGATCCAGAATCCTGAATCTGGTGTTTGAATTAGATTTTATATTAAGATATTGCAGACCAGCAAATGGTTTTATTTTCAGCACTTTTATTTCATAACAGTGAACCCAGAATGTACTTTAGCTATTTAGACACTTAAAGCACAGTTAAAATTTATAAATATGGGATTCATTACAACAATATATAAATGCAGGCATCTCGAAACAAATGCTGCACAGTCTTTTCTCAGAACTAACTTTTTGACACTTTTTTGTTTGTTGGTTGGTTTTAATAAGCGGGTGTTTTAGTGGATGTATGAAGTCAGTTCTCCTCATATTCACACAGGTGTCCGAGCAGAATAACAACGGGTTTATCATATTAACTATACTCTCAGGAAAAAAAAAAGGTTCAAAATCTGTCACTGGAGTGGTACTTTTTTACTGATATGCACACTTTATGTATTAATATGTACATATAAGATACTAATGTGCATCTTTTAGGGGGAAAGAAAGAAGGTACAAAAGTGTACCGCAGCTGTGACAGCTTTTGCAAGCTACCTTTTTATGAGTGTGACATGATCCACTAACAGTTGATAAGTGTCCAAATAATATTAATATTGAACACTAAATCTGTTTGTCCTTAAAAACCTTTTGGTGACATTTCAACTTTAATTTATGAAATGCAATTATATTTATACTTTTTATTGCCTGTTTTCGGGCCACTCTACATAACCAATGAATCAGATAAATATATAAATGAATGAAGTCAGTTCTCCTCATATTCACACAGGTGTCCGAGCAGAATAACCACGGGTTTATCATATTAACTACACTCTCAGAAAAAAAAAAGGTTCAAAATCTGTCACTGGAGTGGTACTTTTTTACTGATATGCACACTTTATGTATTAATATGTACATATAAGATACTAATGTGCATCTTTTAGGGGGAAAGAAAGAAGGTACAAAAGTGTACCGCAGCTGTGACAGCTTTTGCAAGCTACCTTTTTATGAGTGTGACATGATCCACTAACAGTTGATAAGTGTCCAAATAATATTAATATTGAACACTAAATCTGTTTGTCCTTAAAAACCTTTTGGTGACATTTCAACTTTAATTTATGAAATGCAATTATATTTATACTTTTTATTGCCTGTTTTCGGGCCACTCTACATAACCAATGAATCAGATAAATATATAAATGAATCATATTTTGCAATAACATCCAAAATACCAAACATTTATTTGGATTGCGCTGGAATAGCAACTCTTTGAGCGGAAACCAACAAAATTCTGTCTGACTTTAGTATAAAGGTAGCCTACTGTTGTTTTATCATATACATTGACCAAACAAACTTGTCATTAAAATAAATGCCACAAGTGTTGATGTTTTAGGAAATGCAATGATATTTCAACATTTTACTGTTTTGTTGTCTCAACCCTTACAAAAATGAATCATGGTTTATTGTAGTAGCCTAAAAGTGTAGTAACAATGTGTTTTTTGGCGTACTGATTACCAATTGTATCCTAAACCACAGTTTTACTGGTTAAACTATGGTAAGTGTAGCGAAACTAATTTGGTTATGGACGGAAGATAGATGGAAATATAACCGGTAAGTGAAACACAATAACATTGTAGATTTGAGAGAAAGAAAGAAAAAAGACCGACAATTTCAAGAATTTTTAATTGAACACAATGAGAACAACAACCCATGTCTTTTAACCAACAAAATATAAGTTCGCTGTTTCTTTGCAGGCAAGACCATCAACAGTTAACAGCCACAAGTGCTCGCGTGAACTTGTGTTTTATCTCAACAATCAGACATTATACTAATATATATTTAGGCTATGCAAAATAAAGTACTTCTCTTACCTGGAGAATGACACAGATCAGAAGCGCTGTGCCTTTACAAACGGTTTTGATAGAAAGACATCCCATCTTCTTGCATGGATCGTATATTCCCGAGCAGCCGATCTTCAAAACATCTTCAGTTAAGTTTCCCAGCGACTTTTCTGAACGATGAACTTCTGTGTAAACTCTTGAACTGCACCGAGCACTGCTGTGAGAGGTGTGAACTCTCGCAGAAGGTGGAGCTGACGGACTGCTGTCACCAGATTAATGCTGCTGTTAATGTGAGCCAGTGTTAATGTTCCTCCTCTGCTGAACGGAAACTCGTCGTTTCACTACATCGCCAGAAATAATGACTGCATTCCGCCCCCAGGAAGTTATAATATCCACTATTTTAAACAGGCCAGAGCCCAAACTTATGAGAGTGTGGGAAACAGTTGTGGTAATATCCAATGAGGGCCTGCAAAATGTACAGTACTTTACGTTTTACTTCCTTGTAATATTAGTGCAAGATATAGCCTAACAGAAATTGTTATTTACACTGATGAATGGATGATAGGCTATATAATGCAGGCCTTACAAAACTTTACTATAACTGTTATGTTTAACGTTTTAGGGGACTGAAACTTCCTTTAATCTGCCCCTGCACTAAACACTTCTGCTTTCTTCACAGCAGGCCATTCTGATGAAGATTTGCATAACTCCCACACAAAGCACACACACACACACACACATATATATATATATTGCCCTATGTCCAAACATGACATGAAATATAGGCTTTATGTAATATAAGATCCTTCAGAATTCAATTAATATGCTAATATGCTGATTTAATATCAGGCTATTGGAAACAGTTGTGCTGCTTAATATTTATTGGAACTTGTGATAAGCAACTATTTATCAGGATTCTTCGATGAATAAAACAATGTAAGTATTTACTGTTATTTTTTTTATATAAATGTATCATATCCTTGCTGAATAAAAATAAATAAATAAAACTGACCCCAACATATTGTTACAAAAGATTTCTGTTTTGAATAAATTCTAATCTTTTTCATTTTCTTATTCATCAAAGAATCCTAATACCAAAAAGTATCACAGGCTCCGAAATGACTGGAGTAATGATGCTGAAAATCCAGCTTTGCATCTCAGGAATAAATTACATTTTAAAGTATATTAATGGAGAAAACCATTATTTTACATTGTAATAACATTTCACTATATTACTGTTTTTACTGTATTTTTGATCAAATAAATGCAGCCTTGGTGAGCATAAGAGACTTCTTTAAAAACATTACAAATTGTACTGATCCCAAACTTTGTAATATGATATTCATTACTAAATGAATATTAAAAACAAAAGCTTTGACCTATGTTTTTCATAATATATTATGAAATATATAATATATTACATAACATATTATATACTCCTCGGCCCAACACTATACACTCATTTAATTGTTATTCACCATTATAATCTTTCTCTTCCTGTTGATTCCTAAACCCCCATTCTGAACATGTTTACTTAAATTCGAGATGAAAATAGTACTAATTATACTTGCGCAATGCCCATGAGAGGAATTACCATGTTTGCACACGGTACTTGTAATTAGATTAAATAGCATTTTTAAAATACTTGTAATCAGATTAGTTGCTTTTACTGATTACATGATTACATATTCACACAAAAGCAATAAATAATTCATAATTTATTGATTCCCCCTAATTCATCTTTTACATCTTTTAAATGTTCCTTTCAAAAAAAATAGCCTATACCGCTTACATACATTCAGAAAGTCCTCCAGCTTTGTTGGCATTCACACAAAGACCAGTCACTTGTCAGGTGGTTATAATTACAGAAAATTGTTACCACTGGATTTATAAAAATCATTTTAATTTTAAGAAGTGCTAAAATTGAATGAGTTAGGTCAAAAAGTAATCTAAAAAGAATCAAAAAGTATTCTGATTATATTATCTAAAATGTGTAATGTAATGGATTACGTTACTAACTACAATTTTTGTCATGTTTGGAATCAGTAACAGATTATAGTTTGCAAGTAATCTACCCAGCACTGCGTGTGAACATTTCATCACAAGTGTCATCACACTTTCTTTAGGCAGTCTTCATTTCGTGTCCTTCATTCGGCCTGTTTTGAAAGATGCATCAGGTGTATCCTTCGCGTCCTTCACTTACCCACAATCCTTTGCAATTCACAAAAACAAAATTGCTCAAAATGAATTGCCATTGAACTCATCCAGTTTCGTTATGCTATGAAAGACAAAAAAATTATTTTTGATATGAAATTATGCTTTTTCTTTTCTTCTGCTGTAAATTAATGCTAAACTGTGTGTAATGTAAACCATTGATGTTTATCATTACCTGTACTGCCTTAATAGAATGTTTTCAATATCAAGTATTCGTCAAAAAATAATTGTAATAGTATTTTCGTGCTGTGACCGCAGGTGTACAAACATTTATGACCTAGCCATGCGCACTTACTAGAGTGTCTCTTTCTAGCGTTTTAATGCTGAGAAGGACTGTAGCCTTGAAGCCTCATAAGAACTGGACTAGGAAGGATGCATCCTCACTAGGATTGCGACCTTCCCTTTGAGAAACACCCAATGATTATTTTTATACTTGCACCAGACATGAGCGGCATGACGAAACACAACAAATGACAAAAGATCCCTTTATAATCACTGATGCTGTCTACACTGGATACAGCATGATGCAACAAATTCCCGACAGTAAACTAACGCCCTGCTTTATTTCTGATGTACACCTAATGCCTGTGTAACGTGGAGACTTGACAACGGGGTTGAGGATCCAAGTGCAGGCTTTATTTAGAGCGTAGTCGGACAGGCAGGGTCAAAACACCAGCAAAACAGTACATCCAGGGTAATCCAAAAGAGTAATCCAAAGAACAGGCTGTCAACGATCACAAACCAGGTAAACAGTCCAAGAACAAAACACGAAGGCAAGGCAAGGCAAGATAAGGCAGAAACTAGACAACATAGGCAAAACAGACCAAGACTAGAAATTAGACAAACTCAGGATGGCTCCGCAACGTTGCTATCACAGACTAGCAATATGCGCAAACAATCCTCGGCAGTTTGAGAAGGATCTGAGTGGGTGTAATATAGTGTGTGTGTGTGTGTGTGATTGGTTACAGCTGTGTGCACTCAGTGCAATGGATGATGGGAAATGTAGTCCAGAGTGACATGCAACAGTCTGTGTAATGTGAAAGTCAATATAATGAGAGGGCGACCTCTGGTGGCAAGCGGACAGAAGTTCATGGACAGGATTCGTGACAGCCTGTGCTACAGTACAAAATCAGTGTCTTCCCTATACACAAAGTACGCAAGTTGCGTAGGGCCTCCAAACCACCAGGGGGCCCCCTTTTCTCTCAAAGATGATTTAATGACAAGGGCTGTGCGATTAATACAATTTTAGGTCATGTTTTATTTTGGCCTCCAACGATTATGAAAACACCATGCCGCATGATGGGGTTTTTTTTCCTTTAAAGCGGTGCGCTGTCACTTTTCCTACGTAACATCCAAATCAGTTAAATAATGTAATGTTACATGTTGTACAGTCTCCTGCCGGATGTGCTTAATACTAAAAAAGAAAAAGAAAAAGCAGACTGAGTTGTGAAAGAGGGAGCGTGGGCTTTGGGTGTGCGCTTAAATGGACAAATACACAAAAATATGTCAAAAGAGGTGAGTTTTCACTTAAATGCAGCTTGCTATGTCATAAGTGAACATAAACAGTTAGTAATGAACATAAACAGAAAATATTGGATCTGTGCATTCAGTCTTAAAGTGACAGCAGCCTAATAAACCTGCTGCTGCCTGTGTCATTTAAAGTGATAGTTCACCCAAAAATGAAAATTCTGTCATCATTTACTCAGCCTCAGCCTGTTTGAATTTATTTCTTCTGTTCAACACAAAAGAAGAAATTTAGAAAAATGCTGGTAACCAAACAGATGACAGTAGCCATTGACTTCCATAGTACTTATTTCCATATTATGGAATTCAATGGCTACTGTCAATTGTTTGGTTACCCAAAAAAAAGCAAAAGAAGAAACTTTATTCAATTTCTGTATAGTACGTCATTATATTTAGTGCGCTAAATTGTTCATTTCATTTGTGTCTTTTTTCTGTTGTATTTATCCTATTGTTTGTAATTGTCTTCTTCTTCTTTTAAATTGTATTACCGACTGTTTCAACTCACTGTTGTTTGTTGACAGGCTCTGGCTCATTTGGGTTTTTTATGAACATACTGAGTGGGGCCCCTGACAAAGTTTTGCTTGGGGCCCCCAGAAGTATAGGACTAGCACCAGATAAATGGATTTGCAACATTTGTGCTGGGTGTAGACACAGTATAAATGTGACTGCGTGGACAGTGTCTCGTGTTTATAAATGCAACAACACTTTCTGTGCGAGCGGCCCCAAAGTTAATAGTGATGTTTGCTTTTACAATCACCAATAATAATAATCCATTAACCACAAGAACGGATTCTGTGCGGTAAAGCGTAACTTTCAGATACACTTTCAAGAGAAAGAGATTAACCTCGCCTTTGTAAAGAGAAGATAATTCTTGCTTTATTCCCTTTGTTTTAAGTGTTATTTCAATCTTTAATGACCATCTTTATTGGTAGATATGTGCAAACAATATTCCGAAACAGGGGTCATGTAGATATTTTTGATTAAATTCTTTAAATGCTTCAGCTTCAGAGTAGGTATGCAGGGATGATCAGTTCCTGAAGGCCGCTGAATATTGGCCTTTCTTTAGATCATTAACTATATATTTACTTAGTTTTCTCTGCCTGAATACTGCTGTCAGTGACCTTGTGAGGAAAGTCAGGTTATACAGAGCGTTTACACATTTTTGACAAATGCCAACTGCCCGACTGATTCCCACACAACTTTCCATGATTTTTAATAAAAGTCAGTCAAATAATCTTGGTTTGTTTATTATTGCTTGGTTAATTCATCATAGCCTACAGTATTACTTTCCTGAGCGTACGATGCTTCTTTCTTATGCAGCTGTGAAACAGTTACCTTGACCTGATATGTAACTCTATGCAATGCAATACTTGCTTCCATTTTTATCTACAGTAGTTCTATTTATAAAGTATGTACACTACACTAGGTCATGTACACTACTGTTAAAAAGTTTTAGATTGGTGGAATTTTTTAAATAAGTCTCTTCTGCTCACCAAGGCTGCAT